ACTAAGATCATGGCACCCAGTCCCATCACTTCATGGCAAATAGATGGGGAAACAATGGAAACAGTGGCTGACTTTATTTTGGGGGGCTCCAAAATCATTGCAGATGGTGGCTTCAGCCATTAAATTAAAAGTCACTTGTTTCTTGGAAGAAAAGCTCTGACCAACCTAGACAGCATATTATAAAGCAGAGACATTACTTTGCCAGCAAGTTCCATCTAGTCAAAGCTATGGCTTTTCCAGTAGTCATGTATGAATGTGAGAGTTGGACTATAAAGAAAGCTGAGCACCGAAGAATTGATCCTTTTGAACTGTGGTGTTGGAGAAGACTCTTGAGAGTCCCTTGGACAGCAACGAGATCCAACCAGTCCATCCTAAAGGGATTCAGTCCTGAATAGTCATTAGAAGGGCTGATGCTGAAGCTGAAACTCCAATACTTTAGCCACCTGATGGGAAGAACTGACTCATTTGAAAAGACCCTGATGCTGGGAAAGATTGAGGGAGGGAAGAGAAGGGGACAACAGAGGATAAGATGGTTTGATGGCATCACTGACTCAATGGACATCAGTTTGAGTAAACTCTATATGTTTGTGATGGACTGGGATGCCTGGCATGCTGTAGTCCATGGAGTCACAAACAGCCAGACAAGAATGAGCAACTGGACTGAACAGAAGAATTTTCCACAGTTTGTTGTGCTCCACACAAAGGCTTTGGGGTAGTCAATGAAGCAGAAGTAGATGCTTGTCTGGAATTCTCTTGCTTTTTCTATGATCCACTCTCCACTACGGAGAACCAAATTATCTATTACTTAAAAAAAAAAGTTATCTATTACTCTTGAACCATTTTAATTAGAGGTCACATTTATTGTGTACCTACTGTGTGCCACAGAGTAAGTGCTATAAAAGCACTTCTTTGTATATGTTAACCAGTCTTAAGGGGATGATTATTATGAGCATTTTAAAGACAAAGAAGAGAAACACAGACAGGTTAATGATTTACTTAAATTCACCAGTGGCAGAGCCAGGATTTACACTCATTTAGTGACTAAACAACAAGTCTGGCTGTGGGCCCCATCTACCTTGAAAAGTCTCCAAGTAGTCTGCAAAAATCTAGTGAGGATGTGTGTGCTTAGATCCTAAAGATACTCTACAGATTTCCCCATCTTGGCAAGCTAGCCTAAAAATCATACAGCACCATAATAATGTTCTTTAGAATGACAATAAATATTTTAAAGAAATGAAAAGAGATCCTAGTGAAATGCAACAGTTAGAAATTCTCTAAATCTTGAAGGACTATTTGAAAGTGATAGACTGTCTATGAATATTCTTAATATAAGTTTCAAAACAGAGAAAGGATTCTTACACTTGGAGCTTGAAGAACTCTGTCTTTTCAAGATGACTCTAAGTTCCTCTGCATTCTGTGGAAACCTTTTATATTCCTAAAGGTAAGTTTTTCCATTCCTGAAAATTTCTAAAAATTCAAATTGAAAAAGTAAAATGAGCAAAAGAATGTGAAGGAACTTAACTTGGAATCAAAGCAGAAAATATCACCCTTAATTATTAAAACAAAAATCTTAATTTTTGGAAAAACATACAACATATCTATATAGGAAAAATAGTGTAAAATCTGAAGCTGTCATGTGATATAACTCTTCTGTTTACTTTTCTTAAAAAAAGGTATGTGTTTCATGGCACTATCAGAGATTGATTTGAAAATGGCCCATCTGGTACTACATTGGGCAACTAAAATCCACATAAACTATTTAAAAATATAAATATAACATCCTTTATAAGAATTTGACTTTGGAAATTACATTACTCTTAAATCTATCAACAGTAAAGAGTTTTCTTTGAGCTGAGGGTTTTGAGAGGCCTGAAATTTTACAATATGAGGCCCCTGTTTAATGAAAAAAGTAACAAATGTAAAATTTTTTAAAATTAGAAATCACAACAAATTATAGATTTTAAAATGCTGAAAAATATAACAAAAATTTCACAAAATTGAAGACAATATATTTTTATTATCTATTGCCATGACACTTTTTTATGTTTTTGCTGTACGCCCTCTGAACACTCTTAAAGTATCAATCATTTGAAACGTCACGTCCTGTGAAGACAGGAAAGCTTAACGTGGTCTTTTATTTCAGTGCGTCAGTCTTTAAAAAAGCCCCCTCACGTGAGGATCCCTAAAGTCTAAGCTTCATTCTTTTAACCATAAATTCACCCCTAGTTTGGAAATAAGTTGTCAAATGGTTTTGAAATATACATACATTTTATTGAAATACAATAACTACACATAGCTTCTTACTATGATTGTGATTTTTAACTAAGATGTTCCCTTCAAGTCCTTCAAATGAACTTCTTCTTGCCTTAAGAATTCAACTCCAGATTCAAGTTTTTCGTTCTAAATCTTTTCCATTTTCATTCCATGGGAAACTTTAAAACATAATATATCCTGATCATTGACCTCATACCAGGCTATAATTTTCCAATTCTCATCCTAAAGGAAAAGCAAACATGGAGCTTTTTACTTCTCCTTTTCTTAAAAGTATGATAGATCTTTGAAAAAAAAAAAAGCCTCTGAATCACAGCTCTTTTTAATTACTGCAGAAAAGGTACTTACTATAAATTGTGTTATATTCCAATAATGGTATCAATGGAAATAGATAAGGAAATGTGTCTAAGTTTAACTTTGTGTAAACATCAATTTCCTGAAATATCTTTTAGCTATGCAATGAGCTTAAAGGTAAGTTCATCAATAGTAATTCTTAAGAATAAACTATTACATACAAATTTGTTTAGAAGTCTTGAATACATTGCTATCATCAGTATAGTTTTAGATTTATGTTTTGTTTATATTATTAAATTTTACATCATTTTATTTGTATTCAGTAACTATAGCTACCAACGTTCCCTTCAAATAACTCACCTCTTCATTTATAAGTGAAAATTATACATACATTTATTTAAGGCAAAAAATATGAAATTTAATTATCATTGAAAATGTCATCTGAAATTCTAATTTTTCAGTTTTAATGGAAAACTAAAATACCCATCCATGCCCAGATGTCTATCAAAGGTATACTTCTCATTCCTTCTAATACGTAACCACCAAAAATATGTAAAAAAATTTTTAAAAAGGGAAAACAACTGAGATAAGTACCACTTGATTAAAGTTCAGGTAATACATTATTTCTGTGTAAAAATTAAAATTATGACTTTAGCTGTTTATCTTCACATTTGTAATAACACCTAGAAGAGTTTTATGTCAGAAGGAAAGACAACTGAAGTCACTGACAAGTATAATTTCTCTCAATATCTAAAAATTTTCCTATCAACAAGGACAATTAAGCACAAATGTTAACTTAGAAATTAAAGGAATATTAAATAAACAGTTTAAGAAAATTAAGGAGTGAAACAAAATTCTATTTGAAACCAAAACATTTTAAATAATTATACAAGAAATAAAATTAGGATTATTCAGTTTTAATTACAAGAAAAATTTAATGGTCAGATATAAGAATGTTGTGTTTTTGTACTTAGTATTCCTCATTACTTTTTTATTTCTACATACTTATTATACACTCAATATTTAACTTTTTAGTTATACTAAGCAAAGTAAATGACTGTGGTATTCCTTTATTTACCATGTGGTTAATGTAATGAATAAAATGTGCTCTGTGTGCACAAAACTAGATTCAAACATTTAATCAGCAGTTGCCAAAACTATCTAAAGTTATTTTTATCAAAAAGTATACAAGTTGGATAGGACTGGGTTTTTTTAATAGAAATTTTGTGTTTATTAGTTTTCACTACTACTGTAATTTGCAGAGCTCTAAAGCATCTGGTAATTGGAGCCAAGTTTCACAACGCACAAGATCAGTACACAAATATTGACATTAGATGTCTATCTCATCTGACTTGTGAAATTCTGCTATTCCTGTCTTCCATGGTACCATGATACAGACTTGTAAAAGCTTTCCTGATATTTTTGCCCTTATCATGTAAAAATTCAAATGAGTCACACTTTGCTGCCAGATCAACAGAATAACAGGTTTCTTGGTAAAGATCATAGATATTTTCCCCAGAAAAATTCTAAATCAAAAATAGACTATTTATATTAACTATAACAGCATCTATCTTTTTTCTACTTACTATAAATCAGTACACATAAGGTCTACTCTATAAATGTGATCCCAATGTTGTTTTCTAGTCTAAACAAATCCTTATAAAATTCTATGACCCAGCAATTTTCCTGTAACATTAAGTTCTCAGTTTATTATAACACATGAATTTATTATTTGCAATTTGAGTAGGTGAATGGGCTTTGGAAAGCACAAATCATAAAAGAGAAAATTAGCAAAGTAAATATCCTCTGTTATAAATGTAGCACAAGAACAAAGTATTTGCAAGAAAAGCACTCCAATATCACCACTCCTTTCCTCATTTCTCCTTTCTTTCCCAAATACCCACAAGGCAACAAAGAAATGATGGCCAATATTTCTTTCCCACTACATTAACCTTATTCACTCTCAACAGTGTACTCAGGGACTTCTTTGGTGGTCCGGTAGCTAAGACTGCACTCCCAATGCAGGGAGCCCAGATTTCATCCTTGGTGAAGGATCTAAACCCCACATGCTACAACTAAGAGTTCAAATGCCACAACCAAAGGTCTAGCATGCTGCAACTAACACCCTGCACAGCCAAATAAATAAATAAATATTTTAATAAAAAGAAAAAAAACCAGTGCATACACTAAAGGATTTATCATTCTGTTTGTAAGTGGCTGATCACAAGGATCTGAAGAAAGTGTCCACGGCCTCAAATTTGTCCCCATAATTTGCTCAATAATATCCACATACCAGAACAACCCTTCAGTGCCCTTGGTTCCTTCAAGGAGAACTGTTATCTTAAAATAATTAAAATAACCCTAGCCTATACTTTTAGAGGAGAAAAATCAATGACTAAATGCTATTAAGATAAAAGAAGTTAATAAAATAATTAAGAATCCAATGAGCTGCTATGATGACAAGCTGATACTTAATGCTCGAAATACCATGAATACATCTGATACTTTATGATATATCACACTTCGTTCATCATTAGCTCTCATTTGTTTGTTGTGAACAGTCTCTGAGGTTGGGAGGTCAAAGTTCACCATAGTTTACATGTAAAGATGGGTTTCTCTGGTGGCTCAGATGGTAGAGAATCTGCCTGCAATGGAGGAAACCGGGTTTGATCCCTGGATTGGGAAGACCCCTTGGAGAAGAGAATGGCTACCCACTCCAATATTTTTGCCTGGCGAATTACATGGACAAGGGAGCCTGAAAGGCTACAGTCCAAGCAGTTGCAGAGAGTCCGACATGACTGAGCAACTAACACTTTCATTTCACAAGTAAGGAAACTGAAGATTAGAGAACTTAAGCAACTTACTTAAGGTCACACAGCTAGGAAGTAATTAGAAGAGAGATAGAAGCCCAACTTGTTAATGATGCTTTCAGTACTATTTCTACCACCAGTGAATCCATATCCTTGCATTTAATTTCAAAAAGTATTTATCACTAAAAAAGTTCTCAATAAAGGACCCATTATGTGCTTATACTATGCTGAAGACCAAGATCAAATTTTTACCATTTCTGTAAAAGGAAGCACTATCTGATAAATTTCCCTAAAATTTTTGAAATTCCATTTGTATTACTTTTATCATATCTTTTTTTTAACTTTGTTTTATTTTGTAATGAGGAAAGCTATTAATATAAAAGAATGCTCTGGTCTTCTCTGGCAGTCAAGAAGCTCTATTTTACTGCTAACATCGAAGGCTGATGCTAATATAGTTATAACAGTGTGTTATTTAGAAAGGAACTAAGGCTTCTCTTTTGGACCAGAACTAGAAACTGTGCACACAGTAATGCCAAATCAGTAACAATGAAAAATTTATTTAGGATTTTCCTCTGTAGTTTGAAAGCTAAAGCTGAAAATATCTATTCTTCCAGCCCCTAAAATTATACCTAATTAAATAAAGGTTGGTAGATGGTAATTACCAACCAACCTCCTCTGGATAATATGTGAACTTTAAAAAGTACATGTTTTTAAAAGAGTATATTCTATGACATGGAGAAACATATATATGGAAAAAGGGAACCTGAGAATCACAAGGAGCAGAATCAAGAGGAGGAGGAGAAGCAGCAGCAGGAACTCTGTGCCTCTCTGTTCCTTCACTTCCTTCTCAACCCTTTGTAATCTGACTTCTGCCCACAAGACTACAGAATATTCTCTACGTCAAATAAACTTACTACATCAAGCCTTACTCAGTAGCTTGTTCTCTGTCCTTATCCCACTTGAACCATCAGCAGCATGGGACATGTTTAATTTCTCTATTTCTTAAAACTATCCTCTTGGTTTCTAAGATTAATTCTCTTCCCATTGATATTTTCCCTGATGCTTCTTTCACTTCCATTTCCCACCTTAAAT